TGATGATTTGAGATATGGAGTATGTATAGGAGTGAATGTTATTTGGACCACTGTACCGAGAGAGATAGAGACTGATTTAGAGCGAACGTTGGATTTCAGGAGGAAACATATGTGCAGAAATGAATTGCGAGTAAGTATATTTAACTGAGCGTAACACTTCAACTATGCACGCACACACCCACATTGCACGCAAAAGAATCAGTATGTTGGCAGAATGAGAGCGAGAATATTAATCCTGCAACGGGTGGGTTGACCTGACCGCGCCAAACTGAACAGGTTTGAGACACATAGACCCTGAGAGAGGTTACTCCTGGTCAGCATGGAGTAGTATCACATGCGATTTGAATGATTCCTGCAGCTTCTTTTCTCTCATCTTTTCTTTATTTTATCTTATTATAAATAAACGACTTGGCAGGAAAGCGATTTATATGCAAAAAAGAAATTAACAGATAGATGGGAATGACGAGGAGGATAGTGTAACTGGTCCTATTTAGGCGTATATTGAGTAATTCGTGCGTATACGACGTAAGAAGCGAGGTAGAGATTAATTATGGAACAATTAGAGGAATACTCGCTTGACGGTAGAATGTGTATGGGATGTTCCTTTAGAGTTTCGTTTGAGATGAAGAGACGCGTCTGCAGAGAAAAAACAAGTGATGTGTTCAAGCAACAAGGAGAGACGGAATGAGTGCACGATTTTGACAAGACACGATGCTCTGGTGGCGAGACATGACCGTCATTCTCCAGGGAAATCTCAGAGTGGGAGTACGCGCAAGCGTCACCTGTACGGCCCAATGGGGCAAGCAAGCTGTCATTGGAAAAAGAAAATAATTGTTCCCTTTCGCAACAAGCGGACTGGCGTAAAATTGAGGAAAGATATAATGGCTGGGAGATTTACATTATCTGCATTAATATTGTTCTTGCGATAGATTGTAGTTGAACGGTCGTGGAGAAAGATAATACACGCACGTGGGGATTAGGAGGTACTGAGCGATATATCAATCGCAAGTGTTTCCGAATTTATCACAGAATATCACCTGTTCTCGCGACAGAAGCGAGAGCCGTAAACCAACCCAGGCAGGTGAGTAGCGTTTCCAACTTCCTGATTGGCTGATGCGGCGCGAGTAGTGATGGGACGTCACATGAGCGAGCACCGACCCGATGACTCAGATCGCCAACGTCACGAGGCGTCATATAACAGACCGCTCTACTATTGGTTACTGTACTTCCAGGTCATGACGTAGTGTATCGTCATCGATTTCGAGCCATGCCATTGGTCAAAACTCGGAAACTGACGTATCACCCATATAAAACCAATAGCGGGAAATCCAGGAAAGATTTGCAACGTGTGCGTAAGGCATTAATAACAAAAAAGAAAAAAGAAAATACTCGTAGAATTGCCCAACGTCTCATTCTAAGCGGAACTAGAAGAGAATGGCCATCTCTCTTTCTCCATGGAGAGACCACACGAGGAAAAAAAAGAAACTGGATTGGTTTCCGGCGCAGATGCCGAATTATCTGGCATTTCCTGAGTTTTGTTACGAGGATTCGCCTGGGGCAGAGCAGAACGATGAACCTTCACATACGTTTCGGCGATCGCGGGGAGGATGTGAACGAACCCAAACACCAATTTGCGCCGTTGATAGAAATAAATAAATAAAAATGACGGTACGGTTCTATTTCTCTCTGTCTGTCTGTGTCTCTTACCTTACCCCCCCTCTCTCTCTCTCTCTCTCTCTCTCTCATCTCTCTCTCTCTCTCTCTCTCTCTCTCTCTCTCTCTCTCTCTCTCTCTCTCTCTCTCTCTCTCCTCTCTGCGCTCCTCTCTACATCTCTATTCTCTCTCTCTCTCTCTTCTCTCTCTCTCTCTCTCTCTCTCTCTCTCTCTTCTCTCTCTCTCTCTCTCGCTCTCTCTCTCTCTCTCTCTCTGCCACACACACATACACTCTCTCTCTCTCTCTCTCTCTCTCTCTCTCTCTCTCTCTCTCTCTCTCTCTCTCTCTCTCTCTCTCGTCTCCTCTCTCTCTCTCTCTCTCTCTCTCTCTCTCAGTCGTCATTTTAACTCGCTAATCAAGACTCAATATTCCACTTGAGATTAAATGATCAGGTGGATTGATTAGATAATCATCATATTCTTATCATATGTCTTGGGTTTTAATCAGAACACTAAATAGCTGGAAGCACGCCCACGCACATAGGTGTGTGTGGGTGTATATAGAAAAATATAGATACAGGTATATGTACACACAACACATACTAATGAAATTATAGTTGTGCACAAAACATATCCATACACACACGCACACACACACACACACACACACACACACACACCACACACACACCACACACACACACACACATAAATATAATATAATATATATATGATAGTAATATATAGCACATGTTGTGTGGTGTGTGTGTGGCATACATATATCAATATCTATCTATCTGAGAATCATGATAGTGATAATGATAATAATAATAATGTAATAGTGGTAACAATAATAGTTCTGACAATAATAATAAAGATAATGATGGTAATCATAACAATAATAGCTCTAGAAATAATAACAATGTTATTGATGCTAATAATGATAGTAATAATAATGATAACAATGACAACAACAAATGACAATAATAACAATGAAAATAGGAAAAGGGATATTGATAACAATAACAATGATAATGGTAATAAAGATAATGATAGTAATAGCGATAGTAATGATGTTAATTACCACTAATTAATAACAATAATTATAAAATAATTGGTGAGATACTGATAATAATAATAATGATTATTATTTATTATTATATTATTATTTATTTATGATAGATGATAATAATGATAATAATAATAACAATAATATGATTGCAATGCTAATGATGAAAATATACAATAATAATAATAATAGTAACAGCAATAAAAATAATGATAATAATAATAACAATAGTAATACCAATAGTAATGATAATAATGATAATAATAATAATAATAATAACAGTGACCTAGAATATCAGTTTATATTAAGAATATATATATGGAAGAAAACAAAGCAACAACTATTTCTATGTAAAAGAAAAAAATGAAAAAAAAATTACAGATTTAAAGATAATTTTATAATACATAGATGACATCCGTAAACATAACCTCCTTGGTAGAGATGATAAAGGAGATAATAATGATAATAATAATGTTATCCCAATGGCCATAGATAAAGGTAATGATAACGATAATACCCCTAATTGCCATGACAATAGGTGTAACTGATGCAATCATCTAAAAATAAAATCCTAGTTAAGACACACACCTCTGGTAAAAAAAAAAAATAAATAAATAAAATAATATATAATAATAATAATAATAATAATAATAATAATAATAATAATAATAATAAATAAAATAATAATAATAAATAATAATAAATAAAAATAAGAATAAAAAAAAATAAAAATCTGTTCTTTGTTGCTAACCAACTAACAAACAAAGTAACAAACGCTACCAAAAACATAACCTCCTTGGTGTACGTAAAAAAATATATATATATATATATATATATAGATAAAAGTATATAATATATAAAAAGAATAAAAAAAAAAATGAGAAACAACTTACCTTTTTCAGAAAACGAAAAAGAAAAAGCGGGAAAATACATTCAGACATAAAGATATTTCAAAACAAACAAAAAATCTTCAAACAAACAAACAAACAACGGCCACAACATTCAGAAATCCGGGAAAAATACGATTTCTTTTTTTGTTGTTGTCACATGAGTTAACATCGTATAAACTTTGGTTGTTTACGCTTTTTTTGGTTGTTAATGAACCGTAAAGACTATTTTAGTATAGGATTTCCGGTAGTGAAAGGTTTAGTTCTTGTGTGTGATTGTGTTTGTGTGTGTGTGTTTGTGTTTGTTGTGTGTGTGTGTGTGTGTGTGTGTGTGTTGTGTGTGTGTGTGTGTGTGTGTGTGTGTGTGTGTGTGTGTTGTGTGTGTGTTGTGTGTGTGTGTGTGTGTGTGTGTGTGTGCGTTGCGTGCGTGCGTGCGTGCGTGCGTGCGTGCGTGCGTGTGTGTGTGTTGTGGATGTGTGATGTAGTGGACAGTAACGAGAATAACAATGAATAACAAAATAGTAAGTCGTTATTAAAAATAAATACGTTGGCAATAACTGATAAGGTTATACTTACCAATTACCAAAATAATGAATGCATGTATGAATAGTGGACGCTCTACACACCCTAGTGTTTGTTTGTGTGTGTGTGTGTGTGTGTGTGTGTGTGTGGTGTGGTGTGTGTGTGTGCATCGGAGAGGGAATATTATGATGATTTTGAAATTTACTTCTAAACTGAATAAACTATTTATTTCATGCTTCATATTTCTCAGCACTAGGCTTATACTTGAGTCTTAGGGGCTTACTAACAAGGAGTTCGCGCGCGTGTGTGTGTGTGTGTGTGTGTGTGTGTGTGTGTGTGTGTGTGTGTGTGTGTGTGTGTGTGTGTGTGTGTGTGTGTGTGTGTGTGTGTGAGTGAGTGAGTGAGTGAGTGAGTGAGTGAGTGAGTGAGTGAGAGAGTGAGAGTGATGAGTGATAGAGAGGGAGTGAGAGTGTGATTGCGGATGCGTGCCGAGGCGTTTCCAGGATAGGCTGTCCACCTGTCGCCAGAGCTTTTAACGTGTTCATGACGCTTCTCCCGTGTGCTTCTGCATGACTGAATTGCTTACTCGTTTTAATGAACTTATAAAACTTGTATAGTTCACAAATCTGCTTGAAGGGAGAGTGCATGCCTAATCTGTGCCGTATTATACTGCATGACTGAATTGTTTAACCCGTTTTAATGAACTTATAAAACTTATATAGTTGACACATCTGCATGAAGGGAGAGTACATGTCTAATCTGTGCCGTATTATGAATGTTTCGTTGTATTGTATTCGTTGTATGTTTAGCTTTGTCGTTGCGTTTCATCCGAACCGTTGCTTCGAAATATATTGTAATTCAGTGGTTCATAAACTTCCGAAACATGTCTCACTGTCACTGTTAATCGAACGATTCTCTTCGTCTGCAGGAGCTTCTATTACACTTTTTAGTTTTTTTAAATCTGAAGAAGAAATTTCATCTACGTTCACATACATATAGAACATAGATCATTGTGAAAGGGTCCTTGCGACACATAAAGGTGAGTTATTGGAAAAGAAACCATAACAAAATTGATTTTACATTAAGTATTTATTTTTAGTGTTGTTGTTATTGTAGATTCACGAATGATTGATAGACCTTTGTTTTAGTATGGAAGTTATGATAGATTTTTCAATATTTGATTCCTGAAACAGTAGACCACACGACTTTGACAGCAAATGAGTAAATTACTTATTTTAACATCCAAGCCAAAAGATAAATGTTTGATTTATTAAACTAAGATTTATATGGAAGATAAAATCGATTAAATTCCAAGACATATTATGGTAAATTTTGGACATGATTTACAGAATACAAGTCATGTTAATGGAGTCAGTAAAAAGTTGATATATATGAACAAGAAATAGTTATTATATATTAGAACAATACTCTCTATGAAAGGGTAAATCACAATTAAGTTCCATTGGCTGAGCTTTTGTTATTTAGATTATGAGTATCCATTACTATTTCTATGCATTGATATCTCTGTGTTTTTGTTGCTATGACTGTAATAAAGAATTTCTCATCTTGTTTAGGAGACAAACTCGAAAAAAAAAACTTCCTAGTGGTTTTTCTTACATATAATGACACCTAATAAAACTGGCAGAATAAGAAAAAACAAGTAAATTACTTATATTTTTTTAAGCTTGCCAGACTTGAGCAATGAGGATATTTGTAATTGGATGAGAAAATTGTTTCATTAAATTCACTATTATTTTGCTTCACAATGTAAATGTTTAAACACAATGTAGTGTTACCTTTACAATTATTAAGGATTCACATTAATATATAGATGCTTAGTTTAGTTGTTTCTATTTATTTTCAGCCATAAACTCGGAATGTTTACCCTCGCCACCGTGTCTGTAGTCAGCTCCTTCTTGCTGTGGACGGTCTATCACAGTTTCTTGGATTTCAACAACACCCAAATCCCGCAGGACTCTCCTGATTGGCAAGACATCTCACATTCGACTAGAGATCCCAATTTCCACGACATCTCGGAGAAAATAGATTGGGCTTCAAGTCCAAAATCGGTGGAGGAAAAATCTGATCCAAATGCTCTGAATAAGAATCATTTGGAAGGACATGTCATTGGCTCTTTATCCAAAGACTTATCTGAGATTCAAAAGAATTTCAAGGGTGCTGATGAGAGACCCAAGGCATCGAAGAGGATACTCTCCGATACATTTGAAAGTAAGGTTTCTTTGAAAGGTGATACAGGTAGCCATGATAATATAAATGACTCACCTGAAAGTTCTGTCAAATCAGGAGATACTGCTTGGAAAGATAATGACTATATGAACACTTACAACAGAGATGATGATGATGTATATGATGATAAGGATATAGATGATGATGATGATGATGTCAGTTACGCTACTGTTGGGTATACTGATGAAGTCGACCAGATCACCAAGGATGAAGATAGAACTGACATAAAAGATAAAGCTACTGATGCTGATATGACAGACTGGGAAGAAGATGGAATTAAAGGTACAACAGAGAAAAGTATCACCCAAGAGCTCCATGAAGAAGTTGACAGATCCCTCATTCAAGAGGATAAGGAAATCACAAAAGACGAGATCCTGAGTGAAATTCAGACATTCAGTGACAGTCTTCGTAACATCAGTGACAATGTGATCAAACTTATTGTAAAGAATAAAGAAGACTTTAAGGGGGTTCCTACAATGCCTAAAATGTCTAGTAAAATGGAAGAAAACCTTAATCTGAAAGGAAGGTTGGCAGATGGAAATTCTGCCAGCATTCTGTACTCCCTTGTTAGTTACATTTTCCACCTCGAGAGCAACAAATCACTGCAGATTTCCTCACAGACACGGATAAATACCAAAAATCTCATGAATTTGGGACCTAGTGAAGATATAACTAATATTCCTGCTGAAACTCGGTCACACTCGATAGACACAAAAATACAGCAGGACGAAGACCTTAATCTAAACCTAAAGCTGGTACAGTCACCGAGCTCGACACCCAAACCGAAAATCATCAAAGTCAACAACATTTTAAGAGTGAAGACTCAAATACAAGATGACTTCACAACTTATTTGAAAGGTCAGACATGGGAGGTCTTTGTAACTCTGGCAGCTGTGGTGGTGGGGGTGCTTCTACTCATGATGTTCATGGTCCTTTGGGGGACACAACACGTTCGCAAGAGGGAGAACCGCAAGAGATTACACAGGATCCAAGCAATGGAAAATCAAGGGGAAATTTAGTTTAAAAAGTGAAAAAAAAAATGTATTAAAATAATGCTTGAATCTTGGCAGAAATCTAGCCATGATCCTGTAAATTTCCTATACTGGTTTTATTGACAAGATTAGTGTCAAATATTTTTTTATGGTGCAAGGCTCTTAAACTTTTACACTGAAAGTTTTTTATGGATATTCATAAGCAACTAATTTGTCTGATTTTTATTCAGTTTTTGTAATCCCAGTGAATAAAATGTACAAATGATATATTTAATTCTGTAATTCAAACTGCAGTAAGTAACATTGATTTTTTTTGCAGTGAATCTAAGATATTGATTCAGTATTTCTCAAGATGCTACAAGAAATGAATGATTATCTCACTGTAATACCACAGTATTTTCTTCATGTACCATCTTTTTTACACCTTCAAATAAACATTCCTACACAATGGTACTTTTATCTTTTCTATGTTAACTTTCCTTAAAAGGAAAATAAGCATACAACATAAAAACAGTAACATATATATATATGTTGAAGACAATAGCCAGAAAACTAACATAATAATCTTATTATTTCCTGGATAACAAAAAAATAAAATAAATAATTTCATGTCATGCTTAGTTATTTTAATAATGGGTTTACCAATATTCACAACAGCACTTGGTTATAAAAGGAAATTACTACTTTCCACCGATTTTCATATAAAAGGATTTTTTGTAATTGAACGTAAAGCACATTTCTGTATAAAAAATACACAAGGTACGGGTATGCAAAGGGTTTTTGTCAAAAAATGCTTGCACTTATGAAAATGCTTTATAATTGCTCATTCTTAATAATTTTCCTTTATTTTATTATTATTATTGTTATTATTATTTAGATTTGCATTACTAGAAACTTTCTTGTAATGCATCAGTCTGTTTATTCCAAATTTTCCTTTAAACATTATAAAAACCTACTTAGAAAAAAAATCCTGGTTTACAGATATATATTCTTAAAAACAGAATATACAAACAGAAGTATAACAAAGAAAACATAGACAAAAGAAAATAACTTTCAATTTTTTATATATATATAAAAGGGAAATAAAAGATTGAGAATCTTCAGTTCCATCAACTATTCATTATTGTCGCCATCATGTTCCACAAATGGCATATAACTTTCCAGTACTTTATCCGCTCCACTTCCAAGTTAGTCGTCGTACGAGGCGTCTAGGGGTTGAGCTGTTACAAGAAGACCTCTTTCCCACAGGCCACTTACAACAGCCATCTGGAAAAAAGTAAAATATGCCTTTCAAAGTTACTTGTAAATAATAATGAAAAATATAGAAATAAGGATGGATCATGTAATATTAAAAATCCAAATCTGCTGTATCTCTCTTGATGATAATATTTACAGAAATAAACCAGAATATTGTTTTGAAGGAAAATACGACTTCAAGTATTTTAAGTCTTATAAGCTTGATACCCAGGATAAGTTCTGATTTATATAACTTATATAACTACTTGAGTTCCAAGAATGACAACAAAGATGTTCATGAATCAGAAAATAAATTTTTCATTATTTCCACTATAATAAAATAGCATACAAATTTCTACTTGAACCTCATAAAAGCAGAACCGAAGTTGTATGTCTAATATTATATTATTGATAAATGTTTTATTAGATGGTATTTGAACTGCAAATTAATTAACTTTTTCTTCATTCTATATCAGCAGTACCCAACCTTTTCCGTTCTGTGGCCTGCTAACAAGTATATAATAATCTCCATGGCCCCATTCAGTGTTAGCCATCTTTTCAGATTCAGTTATTACTAGTTATGAATAGTGTAATGGTGCCAACAGCCGTAAGAGACGAACACTATATGGAAAGATTCAAATTTATTGATATGTGGGAGGTAACTATCTGTAGGTACTATAGGTCAGAAAAATCCAGTTTAATATCAAGTCATAATTTTCATATTGCTTCATGGCCCCCAGGTTGGGAACCTATGATCTATATCCATTTTTCCATTCCTTCCCCCTTCAAATTTAACATGACTTCAGATTTACTACAATGTTAGAAGAAAAGATCTGCCACATTTAACAAATGCAAGAATAAAAAAGAGCTATGCCAAATGTTTTTATGATCAGTCCTCACTTTGATTGCTAATAAAAGAAAGAAAGAAAAAAAAAAAATTGTACATCCCCTGCTCCTGCTTCCCCTAACTAAAATCATATATATAAAATATAGATATCTAAAGTAAGATATTTATTAGATATCTAAACATTTACACTTGTAAAACATCTAGAAATTACAACTCACCTTCTCAGTTTCTTCTTCAAGTGGCAAGTTTTCAATGGTAATATATTGGGGATAGGCATGAATTAGTGCTTCCACCACTGGCGCACTCTCTGGCACTATTTCAAGGTATTGTGGCTCCTCTGCATGGTATTCACGGCTATTTTCAAGTGTGTGGTACAACCGTACATTGTCTGCTTCTACAACAACACTGTGGGTAAAGTGGATATGTTAAAGGATATTATTTTTATTCAGAAATAATCAAGCAGGGATGAAAAGTTCCCCTAACAGAATTTTTGCAACAATGAAATAACAGTACCGCTATTGATGTTCAGTAAGATTTTTACAGAAAACTTTTAACAAGTGTCAAACTGTCAAAACTAAACTGCCTAAACAGTCAAAATGCCAAGAGAAATTATCATTTCCTTTTTCATCCAAATCAAGAGCCATTCAATTTTTATCCAATTCATATTATCATCAGAAAAAAACATCACTTCCTCAAATACAGCAATCATAAAATAACACTCAAGCCATATTTCCGCACATCCCCAAAATCCAAGAGTTTATACTTTACCGTAAACAATTTCCTCGAATCAATCTCACAGGAGTGTCAGGACCCAGCTCTACACGATTCACAACCCTTTTTTTAGATGGGGACCATTTTTCGCCACCTCCATACACACTGCATGATTTATCCGCTGTTGACATGTAAATGGTGTGTTACTTTTTGCTGTAGTGCCCTAAGAATTATGTGCACAGGTTAGACTAAGAATTACCTCCTTTTTTAAGACATTACAATAAAGATACCTAGGCTTCAATAAAAATTCTAACACAATGTGAAAATAAGAAAAGGGAAAAAACACTATTTAACTCTAAAAATCTAAATAGCTAAATTTATCAACACTATCAAATTTACTCTGCTATCATCAATAATAAGAATGAGAAAACTGCGGAGAATAACAAAAGATCTCAACCATTTGATACAGAAAACAACACAAGAAATAAACATTCTTTATATATATCAACTGCATACTAAACCTTGAAAATGAAAATCATTCCTTAAAAATCTGAGCTATGTACCTAAACTTGAAATAGAAAACTGATACTCACCAATTGTAAGGAATGGAGGTAAACAATCATGCATAAACCCAGTTCCCATTTGGTCGACTGCAGCGTCTAAGGGGGCTATTTCCAGCATGCGCCCCACCATTTCCCCAACCTATTAAAGGTAATAAAATGTGAAGTTCTCAAGCATGTCTATCCTACAAGAGGGACAGGGAGGAGGCGGATAAATAAGTATGAGGGAAGGAGCAGTTGGGGGGGATGAGTGAGGAATTGGGGAAAGGAAGGAGGTTGGAGGAAGAAGCCTTTAAGGAAAGAAAGAAGGAAGTAAAGGAAATAAAAGATGGAAGAACAGGAGATAGATATTGACAGGAAGCAAGAACAGAAGAAAACAATGAGAAGGAAGCTGAAGAGAAATAAGAAAAGGAGGAAGAAAAAGAGAAAGTAGTCAAAGCAAAAGGAGCAGAGAAAGAGGAAATTTCTCAAATACAATAAATATTCAAAACCAAAATCAATTCTATTATTCATTTGACTCCTACTTGAACAGAAAAGCACCAAACAGTAATAATAAAATATTACAGTAACAATATACTTTGTCATTACATTACAAAGCATTATACACCTAGGTATAACAAAACAAATACAAAAAAAGGTTACTGTCACGTCAACAAACCTTCTTAATAAAAGCCTCGCGACCTTCAATATTGTGATCCATGTTGGCAATACCCATGCAGTTCAGATAGTTACGAGGCAAGCCTTTCCGGAACTCTACATCTTCCGCCATTGCTACACTCACTGCTTGCGGAAGCATCTGTAATAAATGTCATTGAAAATACAATGTAATAAAAACGAAATCATGTTAGTCTTCAAAACTTTCTTTGTTATTTCTGATTTTTTCTTTAATATATACTTGCTGACAAAATACAATGAAACACCTCATGTATGAAAGGGTTCTGCAATTTCATCTGATAAGACAACTGCAATGTGCACACTTACACTTTACACAGACACACAAACTTGCTCTTGACCCACCCACCTACACACTTACCCAACGCCCACCCACACCAATACCAACAAAAAGATTTACAAACATACAGAAATACATACACTCCTTCTCGGTTCTCCACAACACACTGAACTAACCTTCTGCAGAAAATGTCCCCAAGTGTTCTTCTGATAGGTGGACACTGTGATGTGCAGGGAGTGGTTCCCCTCGACCGCATGTCCTTGGTGGATGAAGCCCCGGGGGAAATAGAGCAGGTCGCCCTCCTCCAGCGTCACATCTAGAATGGGCTCGCCGATCTCGTTTTCGTCCAGGTTGCCGCTTGAGTCTACGGGGAGCACCTCCTCTTCAACTCTGGAATGGAGGGAATCATAAGTACTATCATCTTTCTCCTTTCTTTTTCTAGGGGAATCTTTGGAAGCTTTGCTTTGTTGATTTCTTACACTTATTCTTTATTCTCATTCTTTTTTTCTTTCTAGATGAAATCTACACTAACTTCTAACCTATTTCTTATCTTTCTTTCCACTTCAAGCTAAAAGCACTTGAATGTCCTAGCACAACTGACCAAAATACCGAAGCCTGCACTCATTTACAGCTAGTAATTAGCATTAAGCAGCAACAGCAGTAGTAATTAGAACAAGTAAACAAAATGAAAAAAAAGAATACCTTTCTACCAAAGGTTTAACTAAACATAACACAGTTCTAAAACAAAATAAAAATACATTTCATTAATCACCTGGGCTTGTATACACGCCATCTCTTCTTCCCTTCCAGCTGGAGGATAAAGGCTTCAATATCATCCCAGTGAGGTGCGAAGCCCTGGGTATCAGGTGGAGTTAAATATCTGAAAAAAAAAAGAGAAAAGCCACATTCAACTAAGACAACTTCTCTATTCAAAATTATATAAAAACAAAGGACATTCCTCGACTTGGCTTTTGTGTATAAAGCAAAATATATTCTAACAAAAATAAATATTTTGAATTACAAGCCCCAATTTTAACAAATGTAAAAACTAATTTCTGTTTCAACATATTATTGCCTCTATCCATAATTCACTGTTACTTCACTGCACTGATGGAAGCATACTGGAATAATCAAAACAGAAAATCAAAGGCTCTTTGTATACTAAATTTTAGATAGCAGCTAGAGGACACGGAGAATGAGGATAAATCATAAAAATGGATGAAGAGAAGAACAAACCAAAAAAGGAAGGGGAAAAGAAATATCTGGAAGATACACTAGAGTAAAGAAAACAAGAAACAAGATTTTTAAGAAATCACACGCACACAAAGAAAAACATTATTCTAAAGATACACACTCACACCGAACTTTCACAATCCTTACTGCCAAAGGCAACAAAACAAAAAATAAGGCCACCAACTTACACGTTGGCACCGCAGAATGAGTTGAAGTACTCCTGGAGGGTTGCGAGTAGCTTCCAAACACGAGCATGGAAGGTTTGTGGATTGAGCATGCGTACACTGCAGCCGTTGTTGTAGTAGTCCCACACCACAGGTGCATGAGCTTGGCCTATGGGGTTGTGTGTCTCCCGCTTGCCATTGCTGTACGATGTGATGTCTAAGTTCTTGGTATACTGCACAACATTCTGTTTTGCGAGATGGGGGTGAGAAATTATTATTATAGACAAAAAGAGAAATTTTAAAATATGAACAATTCAGAAGAAAAATTATTCCAGTTAAGAGTTTTTGTATTTTCCCTATACTATATAAGAGGAATTATCTTTTACAGTAATGATCATAATAGGAAGAACAATTTGTTTAAAATACACAATTGGAAGCAACTCTATCTACCTATCTACTTGACTATCTATGTCTGCCTGCCTTTGTTAGGAATGAAGACACAAAATGGATGTAAATAACCACAATTACCATAAAAAAAACTTATAAACTTAATAATCAAACATAAAATGCTAAGCTAATCAGAATGACTTCTCCATTTACTAATCACAAAAATCTTAAAAGAAAAGAAAAAAAGAAAGTAAAAATGAAAGTAAAAAAAAAAGAAAAGTAAAAAAGAAAGTTAAAAAAAAGTGATAAAATTAAATGATGTTAACTCAACTTACATTATGAAGGATCCGGTCTAAATCTGCCGTAGTAAAGAGTCCCTCATAGTACCCACTGTTGCGTTTAATGTGCAGGGGTCCTTGTTCCCAGTACTTGCTGCAATAGAAAATCATCATAGAATACTAAAATTCCAGAGAAAATCACACAACTTAAAATCACAATATAATAAATAAAAAAACTGAATAACGTAAACTATAACTATACTTCATTGTTTGAAGACTCTTCAAACAGTAAGAACCTAATTTTCCACTAATGGAAGCTTATTTAAGCATATCTTCAGGTATGTGTGTTTGTGTGTGGGGGGTGAATACAGCAAGGAACATTATACAAATAATCATATAATTAGTTTCACTGAAGATTTATGCATTTCATAACAAAACTTAAAACTAGCAATGACGAGTAATTTTACATCATGAACTCCATCACTCATAAAGGTTAGAAAATCCCTTCTTTCTAGACCGTTACTTTGAGCAGGAGCCCTTCCCAATTTGTGACTGTAGCATGATTCAAACCCACTTCACTCAGACGCACTACTAGTCCACGCTACACTACCTGCCACTGAGCCAAAGCAGCTCACTTGTACATATCTTAATGCGGAAATTAGCGGCATCCCTATAATACTGATTATCATATGGAACAGAATAAAGAGAAACATCAACGCCAAAAATTGAAAGAAAACTCTCTTTTTCTCTTACCTAAAGAAGTCTTCCTCTGAATACGGGTGAATTATCCACTGGAAGGATTGCTGTCCCTCCTCTCGGCTGTCCCCTGTGTTCCTAGCTTCGATATCCTCCCCTGACACTAGCAAAAAAACAATTCTTATTGTTAGATGAATATGATTGAAGTAATCTATCTTTTATATACAAGTCTTTTGAATGTTTTGATATCAATTTTTTTTTACCTTTCAAACAGTCTTCAAATGAATCATAGACTCATAACATATTATACACATGAAATGAAATAGCCATCATTGAAAAAATAAATAATAAAATAAATAACTTTAATGATGATACCATTGTGAAACTTCTAAATCTCATACACTGAACTGATATAAAATATGAAAGAAAGAGAAAAGAAAAGAAAAAAGTTCCTGATCCCACAGTCATGATAAATTTCAACATACGTGTTTCAACGTCCATTTCATTCCCGTCCGACTCTTCTGCTACCTCCTCCATGACCAGCACACCGTTCTCCTCTCCATTCTCCTGCTTAGCTGCATTCTTTTTCTTTCCCTTGCTTTTCCTTGCTTTCTTCTTTTTCTTATTATCATTCACCTTCTTCTCTTCCATCTTATTTTCGCTTATCAGCCCGCTCTCTGTCTTGATCTGCTTGCTCTGCTTATTCTCTTTGATGGTCTTCTCGTTTACATTCTCTTTCACAACTTGCTTTCCTTTATTCTTCTTTTGGTTCTTCTTATACGAAACCTTCTGGCCCAACGTAATGGCCTCCCTGGACACCATCTTCCATCGTGGCATATTCTTGCTTCCCTTCCCTTTTACACCATTTGCCTTGCCGTTACTGGTCGCTGTATTGTCCAGGGGGCTGCCCTTCTTTTTAGCGTTCTTCTTGACTTTTCCTCCATCTTTGGTCTTTGGGTGAGAAAGAAAATAACGTTAGATTCAAAACCAAAATCTAATAATTGGCTATTAAGCAATAGCTGAACTGAAGCAATTTATACAGATAATTTTTTAATATTGTTCTACAAGTCTTTATGATCTATCATTCCTTATCCACTGAAAAAAATATATATACACACTATAAAACATACACAATAAAATCACAATAACATTGCAGACAAAAGCAATATCCAATACTTTATTCACAATTCCTAAATTAGACATTATCATTTTTTACTACATTTACTTTTCATTCACATATTTCATATTCATCTAACATACAGCATATAATCAATTCCTTAGTGCTAAACAATTATTTTATTTTAAGTCTTACTATTGGTCCTCGGTACATTGCTACAGCTGTTACGCCATTTTTCGGAGCTTTCATGATGGTGTCTGGCCTTATATCTTATTCCTGTGGAGATAGTAAACCTAAATAATATATCCACCGTAAATACCTAGGGTTAATGTCATTCACTGCCATTGGATTACTGATCAAATGAGGCAAAGTGAGTACTGGTATTGTTTTTACCTCAAGTTGCTGATTTTCAAAATATTCTGCATCTTATATAAAACTGTAATTTCTTGCCAGTGTATCAATAAGACCAAAACAAGAAATACTAGTAGTGTACTTTATTTAGATCTCTTTTCTACATATAATTACTTTGACTTTAATAAATCATATTATATGTAGCTTTTAAAAAAGAAAAGAAAATGATTATGATATTCAGTGTTTATTTATCTTATTAACCTGAGAACTGCACAAGCAAGAAATTTGGACATCTAGATGGGGAGATAAAATGTATAAAAAAAAGGTTTAATTCCCACCTAAATAATATAAAAAATGGGAAGTATATGATTCTGTTATGATGTGGTCAGGATGAGCTTTGGACTCATGCCTTGTTAGATGATAAACCTCCTGCATGTTTCCTCGATATCTATCCCATGTCGTAAATGTCTATCCCACACTGAAACCAATACAGCAATTTTGATACAAGAATAGGCTTGGAATTGACTTTAATGGTCCAGCTCTATGAGGCCCCAAAATAATAGCAACATGAAGCAATTCTTGCTTACAACTGGCCTGGTGATTTATGAAAAATTTTTACTGACTATATTTTACAAATGAACTGAATGTCTAGAAATTGTTTTTTTCCCTTTTCTAGACATCAGTAAGAAGAAAAATGGGTAAAATTTCAGATTCTGCCAGCCTCCTCCTTTCGAAACGATTGTTTTTGGAATGGATAATTCCTTCGCTGTTTAGCGCTGTAATGCTATTGTTCTCCGTCGCATCTGACTGCTTAAGCAGTGACGTAACTTGTACTTCTCGACGTCAGAGTTGCTTAAGCGAAGGATTTGCAATATGTTTGGGAAAAAATTTCCATGATTTACACAGCAAAACATATCAAAACAACTAACAAAAGCTTTAAATCGTGTTTGTTTAAACTCTACGGAAAAAAGACGCATGTTTCACCAATATAATTACGGTCTACTAATGTGCGGTTAAATCTGGGCTTACTTTTTGTCTGGTTGCCTCACAATACAAAAGCAATAAATTTTGATTACACAAAAATAGCCGATATCCCGAGCGTGTATGTCTGCCGCGAAGGAACGCCCATGAGCCTGAAGAGCGAGGTACATTTTCGTCATTAATAGCTGGATAAGAGCCCGCTGTAGCTTAACCTATAATACATCCTACTATTTCTTCCGTTCTATAAAATGGCGTTGTCCATTTCCCTCTATCACCGCGCGTCACACAAACGGATAACCTCATTCCTACATAATTTTCAATTTTACCTAAAATTTGCGGTGCTGCTCACATCGGGCAGGAACGTTGCGCAGCATGGACACGGCGTCCTCCATGGAGCCACCGCTCTTTCAGTTATTGCTGTCGCACGCTACATTTAACATTAGTTTATCGATGGGAATAATGCTAGAGCCCCCTTCTATGCGCAAATCGAGACAAATCACACTCCCAAAAGGTTTGTGCACTCGTTGCGAGTCTTTTCCGTCACCCGCGCTCATTTAGCGCCCTGCTCATTATTGTTGAGATTGAGATTGAGACCCGCCCATCAGAAGTTTTTCCGTGACATGCCCGCAACGTCATCCTGGTCCCCATTCGTTATGGCAATTTGATTGCGCGCGCGGTTATTGTACACCGATTCAAAGGCGATGTATGCAACAGACAAAAGAAATTAACGTTTAATATTTATCATTAATATTGCGTTTGTTAATAATCTGCCTGCGTTTATTGCAAAATAAGACAAAGAATTAGTTAGTTGCACTCTATAAATATTTGAGTATATATATATTCGTGCAATATGCAATGTGTGTAATATGCCGGTTCTCGTTATAATCTATTTAAATCTTACTAACCTTCTATTGCCGTACCTCCGTATACTTAGTCAAATATTGTTGATGTTGTAGTTTTTCTGCAGAAAAATGCAAATAGCGATTTATCAACATTTCAGCCGGCTATATATTTTCCAACATTTCACACCCAAACCCTTCTCACACAGTTGACAGACAGACACTGAACGTTTTTTTTGTCCGGTGCACACTTTCCGAAAATAGCGAGTTCTGATTGGTCAAGAAATACTGACGTCATTTTCCTCAGTTTTCATTGGCCAGGATTTGTCGCCGTTTATCATACAGTATAATCGCTACCTTGCCAGTAATTGCTAGTTAAGCATGGTGTTCCTGTCTTACTCTTTGACACACGATTCATTTAATATCGCCGATTCTTAATTCTTTACTCTACCACTATACATACCTGTTCCACACACGGTGTCTCGTGATTGGTTAATAGTATTTCCTGTAATACTATTGGCTTTCGTGACAATGTCACGCGCATGTAGTGTCGAATAAATATTTCAAAATGTTTCGTTCGCAATTCAGGCGATAACATTTTTGTTTTTGAAAATCCCGCGCATTTCTTCAGGCCCCTTTTGCTCGTAATATGGGTGAGGCACATCGGTTTGCGCAGAACAAGAAATTTACTTGTTATTGTAAATACTCAATATTATGTGAGTATTACTGGTCTATTGTCATATATATTGATACAGACACAAAATCTGCTTCGTGTACCGTTATGTGGGCATTATCTACGCACGAATCTCGGTGATTAGAATAATTGTACAAAAATGAAACGGCATCATTGTTTTGTTTACAAAAGACAGGAAAGGATATCGGATGGCGATTTTTAAAATATTGAGATAGTACTTCATAACGGGCTCACGGACACTTATGTGTCCAATAACTTCGTTAGTTTTGAGCTGCGACGGAAGTACATAGAAGAAAAGTTTCTTAGAATCACTCGCTTTATCATTTGCATATGTTATTTTTCGTCTAAAAGGCGGCTGGCAGAATTTTGACCAATACCGAAAAATGTAAGTCAATTGTTTACTAGTGAATTTTTCCCAGGAAATGTCATAGATGTAAAGAGTTTTAGGTTTGGAATATTTTTTGCTTTACACAGTCACCCAACCTTGGAATCATTTCTTGTTTAAATCATTAATTGTGTAATACTTATGAATCTGTTATTGTTTTCCAGAACAAATAACTGGTTTCTGAAATAACGAAGTATTAGTAACAATTTACATAGTGACTGCACCCCTCTCAAAGTCCCTATCACTCAAGCCAGTAATTGTTACCGAGAGTGATGCACCCTCCAGACATGAAGTCACAAAAACCAGGGTATCATGCAAACCCAAACACCCAACCTAACCTCTCTTACCTTCTATTTATTCCCTTGACAGGTGGACAAGACCCCTGTCTCTCCCCTTTATTAGTACTTCATGCCAATTTTAAAGAAAAAGGACATTAAGAACTCTGGTTGTGTGAGTGTTATGGACAGTCTGAGAGCGGTGCTATGCAGCCGACATTTTTGTCATTTTGAGGTTAATTTGAGGCCACTGTAGCTGTACCTATTGTGCTTTTTACTATATTTTTTGTGCTCTTTAAGATGGCCGTGTCCATTTCCTCCAATCTCTATGCATTGCTCACGGTAACTTATTCCGTCAAACCACCAACCTTTGGGGCCTTCTTTGGAATCCATTAATGTTTCCACTGTATAAACTGAAATCCTTTGTCCCTGGACCCCCATCTCATCACCATGCTCTTTGTCTATATGCAGCATTTGTCATTACCAATTTTCTCTATATCAGTCACTATTATTTGCCAGCACAGATCAGTTCGTGTGTTAGTAAGTGTTTTTTTTTCTCTTTATGGCAGTGTCATTTGACTTTCTGTATCTTAGTGCAACCTTTGAGTAGAGGTATAATAAAGTATTACTTAAGTGTTGCACAACTTTTTAATGAACTAGAGAAGGAAATGCCATCATTGAAAAGTGTCTTAAATTTTGTTGTTCTGCCCTTTAGGGGCTAAGTTTACATAGTAGCAAATGGCTACATGAAACAAACTATACATCACCCTTCAACTATTTATTGATTCCATACAATATTACCCACGAAAGTTTGATCATTTTGAACTAAAACTATACTGTAAGGATTTCCTGAAAATCTACATGTAAACCAATATACAAAACATTATAATTCCCTAAAGTAACCACTTTCACGGTTCCACTTCACAGTTCCAACAGTATCTAACCATTAAACTGAAATTCAAGTTGTATCAGTCACGAATTTAACATTCTAAGAGAAGGAATGTCATACTCTACCCTTCCCTGAACATAATTCAATCATTTAACACATACCAACACTTCAAACCCTATAACACAAACATAACCCACACAAACACAACACCAGCCTCGATCTAAAAGACAATCCTCTCATAAAAACGGATATACCACGCAAAGAAATCAATAACCCCTCAAAACTACAAAACACACGTACACCCTTCATGAAACCACGCCTAGACCGCCAATTTTTAGATCTCATACCCTCGAAAAAACTGCAAAAAAGGAAAAATATACGGAAAATTTAGACATCTCACCCCGTCAGACACCACGTGGAGAACATGTAAACAAACCGATGTCGCTGTTGGTTAAACCGGGTCGAAACGCGGTCGATTTAAATCATTATATCTTTCAGGCGTTTTATGACATACATTTGAGAAAATAATGGGTTTATTTCATATAGGGATGTGGAGATTGAAGGTTTGGTATTGTCTGCATGTGCATGGTATCAGTATTTATGTTGCTAATAAATATTTCACTGAAGGTGTTAAGTGGCTAAGCGAGATTAAAGAGAGGGTGAGTATATCAGTATAAGGAGTGTTAATGTAAAAAATGATAAGCAGGTAAATACATAATTTCAAAAAAAGATAACACATACGAAATATTATTAAAATGTATATCATTTGAATGGGAAAACATATGTACTTCTTTGGTGTACGTAAACGAACAAACATACATGTGTATACGTAAAATGAACACACGCCAATTTTGTTTATCAAGACAAATATATAAAGAAAAAATACACACGCACACACATACACACACACATACACACACACACAACACACACACACACACACACACACACACACACACACACACACACACACACACACACACACACACACATATATATATATATATATATATATATATATATATATATATATATATATATATATATACTTCTACATACATATATATAATATATATATATTAGATAGATAGATATAGATATATTTATATATATATATGTATATATATATATATATATATATATATATATATATATATATATATATAGATATAAACAACATACATACAATATAACGACATAGTAATAATGATAATATTAATGATAATATAATAAAAAAGGATAATGATAATAATAATAATAATGATAATGACAAATGAATAATAATGAAGAGGATAATGATAATGGCAACAAAATTATAACAACAACAATAATAATAACAATGGCAATAATAGTAATAATGATGATGATAATAACAACAATAATAATAATAATAACAATAAAGATAATGATGATGATGCGGATAATATTGATGATAATGATGATGATATTGATAACAATAGTAATGATAATAATAATAATAACAATGATAATAACAATAATAATAATAATAATAATAATAATAATAATAATAATAATAATAATAATAATAATAATAATAATATAATAATAATAATAATAATAATAATAATATAATAATAATAATAATAATATAATAATAATAATATAATAATAATAATAATAATAATAATAATAATATAATAATAATAATAATAATAATAATAATAATAATAATAATAATAATAATAATAATAATAATAATAATAATAATAATAATAATAATAATAATGACGATGATAATAAAGATGCGATGGAAAATGGTAAGAACAAAATTAATGATAAGAATGGTAATGATATAAATTGATAAAAATAATAATAACAAAAATGATAGTAATAACAATAATGAAAACATGAATAAACTTATATACATTAATGTTAAAACAATCGTAATACCATACATTTGGTATAGAAGTTTGATACAGGTGACGATGACAATGATAATGACTGTATCGGTAATAGCGAGAATGATAATAATGCATTTATAGCAACTTATGATAATGAGAAGGATTTTAAAAATTAAATTGACAAGGTTTTTAAAGATAATACCAAAAAGTAATAAAAGTTGGGGAAATTTTCAAAAACACCAATCTTAACGCCAACTGACACCAGCTACATAAGCCGTATCACAATATTCAGTCATATATTAGGCGAATTAACATCATCTTTGAATGCTATCAAATCTAATTCCTCGATAAATAGAACTCTCAAAAAGGAAAAGACTACCTCCTCTATCAATAAAGATCAATTATAGCAATAAAAAATGGATATCATATAAAGAAAGAATATCATACATTATTTCGCTTAATAATCAAATGAAATGAAAACCTGAACCTAACTTTAGTATATAAATTATCCCAAAAAGAAATCTAATAATCCAGCAGAACCTTCCCGCCAGGACGACGGTTACGATCAGCTGGTCACAACAAACACCAGAAACTCCTCTTTTTGGTGAATAAAGCTCATTTCTTCGTATATTTTGAGGGTTTTGACTCTATTTAGACCATGAATTGAACTCGTTGTTGTTGCATCTCGCTGTGTGTTGGTATTCTTTTCTTCAGTGTGGTATTTTGGTTTATTTTTAAAAAATATTTTCATGTTTTTGCAATAACAACCGTATTTTCAGTGGAAATTATTAGTTTATACACTATATTGAAAGAAACATTTTTTTCTAATGATTCAGGAAATTGTCAAGTATAGTTGGTGAGATCAGGATTTATCTGGAAGTAACTTAGTATATATATAATAATAAAATAAAAAATACCAAAATAGTGGTTGTACAATGATAAGATAATATTTTTCTTTTATTATCATGATTCAGTCTCAGTCTCATTGTTATCAATATTCTTATATACAAATACGTGCTTATTGATAGGTTAAAGACATCGACGTGCGTAGATAGAGGGAAATGGACACCCCAATCTTATAGAACATGAAAAATAGTCATAAAAAATTGTTAAAAACAACACAGGAACAGCTGCAGTGGCCTCATTTTTACCGTGAAATGTGGAAAATATCCTCTGCAAATCTTCGCTTAGAGACTAAATCCACAACACCCTCACACAGCCAGAGTTCTTAATGTCTCATTTTCTATAAGTTGACACCAAGTGCCAAAGGGCAGTTCAGTTTTATGTCACGAGTTATGACGATGAAATCCACATGGTGAGAACAAACCTGTCTCTCACAGAAACCTCATAGAGCAATGAAAAGTTACGTTATTATCGTGAGGGAAAATGTGTTATGAATATTTCAATACGTTAAAAACTGAAGCAAAAAAGTGTCATGAGGTGAAATTAGAAGCTCTGCAACTAAAAGAGTGTACATATCGACTACCTGCCGAAATTTTGACCTTGTATGGCCTTGGTAGTTAGTGTAGATGATGGGAGTTTGAAAGTGATTATCTTTGTCACTAAGATTAGAAAAGTTGTAATATATTCATATGTTGATCAATTAAACTCCTACCTTCACTAAGATGTTCTGAGCAGATGTAAACATTTTCCACCAGGCTTCTAAGCACGCATTTATGTGTTTATTGGTCTGAACCCATTGCTTCCATTTTTTGGGTTTCTTCTTGCGATCTGGGAATATGTGAAAGGATAGACCTTTCTTTCCCACCATATTTTGGTTCAAACAACCAAGGGCTACACAACTCCTTGGCATTTTCATGCATAAAAACATTAAATTCTTAAATAAATAGTGAATCTGTAAGCACACTGAGTTTTGAAAGAGTTTTTTTCACTAAGTGCTTGTTGCTTGGTACAGTTGCTGTGTTTCCAAATCAGTCTATTAAAGGGAGGGTCTAGGAAACAAATACAAGGTAGGAAAGGTTAGAATTGGGGTTTTTAAGTTTGCATGATACCCTGGTTTTGGGACCTATTCCCAGGAAGATGTGTCGCTCTTGGTAAGAAATATGGATAATACATGATGCATTTTGTAATATTGGTACAATGCTGGGGTGGGTCAGATGCATTCAGTCTAGCCTTTGGGGGGACTTTTCCGTGAATGTCTTTCTGTGGCACCAGTTCTAGTTTTAAAGACTATTGAATGTAATTATACATTTTAAAAGCCATGTGACTGATAATTCTAAGGATGTGAAACTAACAATACAGTTGATTAAAACCTCCAGACTGCAAAGACTCATTTTATTCATAGAATTACCAAGGTCCAATGGTTAAAGCCTGTAGCGTAATTTGGTTAGCTCACTAGAGTTGGTAGATAAGGTCAGCAAATCAGGTCAGGCGAGGTAATTTTAGGTTGTACCTCCTTTCTCAATTGCTTTCTTTTCTCCTTCGTGATGAATACTTTGCTTTTCCATTCGTAGTATATCACTTTTTGAAGTATGGTTTCTGAAATTGTCAACTTGTAAGCCCCCATCACAAATAATTTAAAATCCTGGTTATTTGATATTAGACATACTATTTGTGCTTTTTTACTCCTTGGTCTCAGCTTTAAAAGATATGAACAAAAGCATAGTATCCTGGACATTTTTTTCAGGAATTTCTTAAATTCATATGAAAGACAAGATGTTTATTTTTTTGTTCACCTTTTTGACAAATTCCTTTCTCTACAGAATGGCTTAACATCGACAATGGAAGTCACCGTTTGCTCACAGGATGGAGAAGTGAGTCTCAACTTTATCCTTCCCGAGGGACTGACAGAAGAAACATGTTCGACGAGCCTTGTGTGTGCCTACCAGGTGAGATGAAGAGAGTAACTTTATATGCCAAGAAAAGAGAGCTGTTGGGTTTCATTGCTAGATAAAAGGGGTTTTGGTCATGTAAAAGATATCAGTTAGTGTATGATATTCTTTCCTGTCATCCCTATCCCTCTCCCTTTGCTGTTTCCTTCTTAATTTCCTTGTTTCTTTCTTCCGGTTTCCTTTTTAATTTTCTTTTTCCTAACCCCCCTTCTACTTTCTAACTCCCTCCCCCTCTCCTGCTTTTCCCTCTTCCCCCTCCTCCTCCGATTTCCTCTGTCTCTTCCTCTCTCTTTCCTATTCCTCATCTCTCTGTCGTGTTACATTTTTTAACATCTTTTCCTAAATCTACTTGACTCCCCCTTCCCCTTTGCTGATTCATTTTTCCCCTCCACTTCCCTTTCCCTTTATGTCCATCTGTTCCACACTTTCCCTTTCTTATCCTTTCTTCCTTCCTTTCCTTCTTCTTCTTCTTCTTCTTCTTCTTCTTCTTCTTCTTCTTCTTCTTCTTCTTCTTCTTCTTCTTCTTCTTCTTCTTCTTCTTCTTCTTCTTCTTCTTCTTCTTCTTCTTCTTCTTCTTCTTCTTCTTCTTCTTTGCATTAACGGTAATCTTTCATAAGAACTTAATTACATCAATTATATCAGTGCCTAAATCTTTGTTCTTGCATTCATAAACCTTTGCTCCAGTTTCTGATGGCAAACTAAATTCCAGGCTTGTCAGGAGAATGGATTGAACCCAGTTTGGCTTCCGTCAGCCGACTGTATCAAACTCTCC